TAAAAATTGAAAGAAAAATCGTACTCAGAGTAGATGTATCTCTGTTCGTTCTCTTAGGTGCCTGAAATAATCATCAAAATCGAATGCGGGACTTATGTGGTCAAATTTTCTCAGTGTCGAGAAAAATCGGTTTGAAAAATTTTTGTTCTCTTTTAGTCTAATTAGAAGCGAGCAACGCAGGAAGTTTTTCGTTCGGCTATAAAATATTTGGTTGTGGTTATAGATAAAATGTCTCCAATCTGAAAAAAAAACTAATTCAAGTTGTTTTGGTTCAAAAATAAACAGTGCTGAGATTTTTATTTGTTACTTGCGCATCAGCAGGTAAACTTTATTTATGAAAACTTTAATCACATTGTTTTTTTGCTCAGTTTGGCCCCGTTTCAATTTTTTGTCTGGAAAAGGGTCTGTTTCTCTTAATTTCCGCTCTGTTTTCTATACAACTGATGATTGAAAGCTATTTTGAACATTGTTGGCCCTCGCTGATAGATACTTAAAATGATTTGATGTTATTTATTTTGAGAACCGTCTCTACTTTCTGAGATTATTTTTGGTTTTGCCTGAAAAGCAGCTTGCTCAATCTTCTGCCTATTCTCTAATTGCACGAAGCAAGGCGAATTTTTGAAGAAGTTTCATGCATGCGGATAGACAGTCTTTTTGATGTATAAGTTTTGTTCTTACATTTATTTTTTTGAAAGTTTCTTTGAGGCATATGGTTTCAATTCCACAATTTAGCAGAAAAACTGAAGAAGCCATCAAATTAATTTCAATCAAATGTTTTTTATTTCATCGAATTTTACTAAGAGCTAGAAAAATTAATATTTAAAATTTTTTTTCATAATTCGAGGTCTAGTTTAGACTTGTCCACTTAAGTTAAACGACTAGTCATTTTTTGTTCAATTACAGTATTAAGATAAGCTTAGTGCTATTTTTAGTTTTATTCGAACGTCTGATTTCTTTTGGTTACTGTAGAATTGGTGATTCTACTGTATTACATGCCATAGAAACCTGAGTGAAAATTTGGTAATTCATGATGAAAATGGGTGAAAGTTGCGAAATTTGATTTCAACGTAAACCGACTGTATGAACTTGTAGCAATGAAATTCAGTGATAGATAAGCTTAGTTTGAGAGCAAACAATCGTAATCGGACTTTCCACCTTGAATTTGACCTCTAGGGCGAAGAATTGGAAAAAAGAAGAAAGCGCTAAAGTTCTGGAAACCCCCCCGGATTGGGAACCACTGGTCCGATCCTTATGAAAATTGCTGGGTGACTAATAGAGATGATTTTAGCTGGGCAAGCAAATTTTCAGACCCCTGGGACCCCTGGGGGGCGAGTGATAATGATTTCCGAAAATGCAATTAGCACTTTTTGTAAACCGGTAACTAATGGTCAGAATGACCTCATATTGCAATATGTTGTAGCCCTAGGCGAGGGAAGATCACCACCGGGATTTTGAACGCATCCGACTATTACTTCCGGTTTTACGCCTTATGTAAACAAAACCCACTTTTTGTTATTTCTCGATCCCTGATAATGCTAGGAGGCTGAAACTTGGGGGTATGGTAGGTTGGGGGAAGACCTATAATTTGTCAATGTTTGGACCCAATCCGGCGGCTACGTCGGAAGCTATTAGCACGTGAAAAATAAATAAGGCTATTAACACCTGATAGTGATAATTGACTTGTGAGTTTATTGCACCAATGTGAAGGGGGGCCCAACCCAGTAGGGGGACATCTAGTGACCCAATCCTCTCCGGAATTTCCTATGGGGTGAAAATGACAATTTTAGGGAAAAGTGTTAATTGACCCAATATTTTCGAAAATATGGGAAGGGATGGTCCGATATGAATGAAACTTAGTGAGAATGATCTCCCATCGAAATTAAGACGTTTGGACGCGTTTGACTTCATTTGACCGCGGATGACCTCTAAGAGGCCATTTGGCATTTTTGACCCCAAGACCCCGGAACCCCCTGAAAAGTAATAAATTAGCATTGTAAGGACCCGTAAGGGGTACCTACCCATCTGGGAGGTAAGTGGAGGCCCCTATATCGAGAATTTTAGTTTTGACCTTTGTACCCGAGCGAAAGTGATTTTCTGTAATTAGCAAACATTGGGGTCAGCTTAACCCACTCCACTTGGACTTTCGATAAAACCGACAAACAAGTAAAAATACAGCCCCGTACAAAAAAAATTGGGAACATCTTTGGGAGGAAATGGGAATTTCGGGATGAAGATTTTATGAACAGCCCTAGCTTATTAAATAAATTCTTGTGGTGTTTTTTCGGATCAAAACGGATACGGGGAAGGGAATTACCCAGCCCTTGGACTTAGGGGAATAAAATTAAACTTTATCGGGACCAAAATGGAAACTTTTCAAGTATCACGGAAGTTAAATTACCGATTGTGTGAGTACTACCCAATTCATAGGAAAGGGAAAAAGTTAGGAAGAACTAAAATAAAATCATGCAAGGGTTCATTTGTCAAATACGATTGGGAGCTGATTTTGTAGTTGAACCCAATGTTTGCTCAGTATATCCTGATTAACTAAGTTGCACCCCGATGTTTAATTAAAGCTGACCCAATGGTTGATTCAGCTGATAAGTCCTGAGTGACCGCTAGTTAAGTGAATGTTAGTAGCGATAGGGAACAGTACGCCTCTGACCGAACCGAAAGTAAATAAAGATAACGATCCGCGATTAAGGTACGACCACCGAACTGGTCAGAACAATTGATACTGAGATAGAGTATAGTTGGTTCTCAGTTAGAGAGAACAGTGATAACTACGATTGAGAGTAGTTGGTTCTCAGTTAGTTAGAGAGAACAGTGGTAACTACGATTGAAAATAGTTGGTTCTCAGTTAGTTAGAGAACAATTTGGGCTACGAGTTAAGGTAGTCGGTGTATCCTCAAATTAGAGTGAGAACGAAAGGTGACGAAGACTTACGGTTGGAAAAAGTTGCAAAAACCTTAAAGCAACAACTTCGCGAAAGTTGTTAATTTATCGGGAGGTAATTTTTCCTAGGGTACTTTTGGGATTAAAGTGTAGTTCAGAGAAGATAAATCCGAAAGATAATTAAGTTTGGGATATTGATAACTGTTAAAGGCAGTTAGTTAATTAATACGAATCGCAGTCCTATTCTTTATTTGAACGATTAATTGATATTTCAGCCATTTATAGGCTACTCTGTATTTGGTTATATTTATTTCTTAATTCAGTCTTATTATTGGAATTGTTGTTGCGATCGACTATTGATTGACAAGTGAGATACAGTCGGAAGAGCACAGATCACGGGGCAAGCAGCATAGTAAGATACAGAGTAGCCAACCACCAAATCAACCCTTTTGGAATTGTAAACAGTACCGGGAATCGGTTGCCCCACTGACCCCAGTACTAAAGGGAACATATTGCGGCGGTGCGAAGGACGATAACGAGTGAGAAAAGCCGGCCTAGAGATATTGTGAATTCCCCCACGTTTACAGTTACAAAATAAGTAGTATTTTTTTTGGTTTCCACTAATAATTAATAATTCGAATTCACGAGGAAAACGTTTGCAAATGAGTTTTTAGCAGTTTTATTTTAAATTCTCGAGCTAAATTTTTGCGAAATAGCCGAATGTGTTTTAATGTTTGTGCACAATAGCCAATCAGTATCGTACTACAAGCTTAAGAGAAGCTTGAGGATTGGTAAAAAACGCTGTACCAAAACATGTTCTTAAGTTATTCCATATCTTTGTGTTATCCATTTTACATTGGATCTCAGTCTACTCGAGATCTTGTTTATGTTGTTGTACTTCAAAATGGTACTTTTGTTAATAAAAAAAGTTTTTTTTTGTCTGCTTTTTTTTCACAGACGAAGGGGTTTTAAGTTTTTCAAAACTTAGGAACATTGCTGAACCCAAGTGTTACAAGCGCATAATCAGAAAATTAGAAATTCAGAATCAAATATAGTTTAAACCATAGTTCAATTGCACCCGTGTGAACTTTCATTTGTTTTCAAAAATTCGGATTTTTTCATCTCAATAGATATACATGTTTTAACTTGTAACTTGACCCCAGGCACTGCGTACCCGGGTTGACCTCCATAAACCAAAAATGCTTATCTTACATTTCCCCACACCGAAAATGCTTGTCATACAATTGCCTACATCAAATGTATGCAAAAAATGCTAATCATAGAATTTTCATTCCAAAACCATTGAAAAAAGAATTAATCTAGTTTCTCTGGCTATTTGAACCAAATAAAATAGTCTGGTGATGAAAAATTACTACGTTTGTTTTTTTTTTGGAAAAAAAATGGTTGTCATACAATTTCCATATATGAAAAAATGTTTATCTTACATTTTCCATATATGAAAAAATACTTATCCTGGAGTTTTCTTACAATTTTCTGAATCTATGAAACTGTAGGAAATTGTAGGATATGCATTTTTGGTCAACCCGGGTATGTTTTGACCGTGCGCGTGAACATTAGTTCGGATGTGTATAGCGCGATGATGAGTTATAACTGATGTGGTTAATTCATAGATTATTGCGGCAGCTGAATTTCTCTTGGAGAGGCAACTAATTTCTAAGTTAAATTCAAATCTCTCTGGTGCTGAAATTACAAGTAATTTCAGCACTTACAAATAAGTGGGTTGTTAGTTAGATGGATTATGATTGGTTAATATTAAATTTTTTACAGTGGTAAAATATCCAATTTATCCAATTATAAAATGTAGTTTAGATCAGGTTCCAATGAGAGCTGAGTCTATGACAAATGAAGCGACATTGAGTTTCTGCCCAGGTGATTAAGACTGAATGGTTCAATGATACAATGTTCAAAGCTTCCATGATCTAATATCGTCACCAATGAAAATACTTTTGTCTTTCCGTTCATATCAGCTCTGGCACTACTTTATTATGATTTATAAGAAAAATGAAAAATTTTAAAAAAAGTTGAAGAACTTCCCGACTACAGAATCTTTTGAAGGAAAAAACATACAAGGAATTTGATGTTAACAGTTTCAAAGCCTCGGGCTCCGAACTTCGATGACCCCAACATAAGATACACTGCAACAAACACTTCAATAACCATAAACGACGGAGGACTAGGCACTGTGGGGTCACCTTCAAGCAGTGTTCGTCTCGACAGATACCTCTTTGTGGTCGCTTTGCTCGACGCTTTGCGGCCGACGCTTGGAGTTGCTGAAGGGTGGGTAAATGTAGACGAGCCTATGACAGTGACAAGACTTTTACCTGGTAGGGTGTATTCGGTAAAAGTGATCGGCCAAGTGAACTCTTCTTCTTGTGGAAATGTGAATGGAACAGAGGAGACTGTGATCAGGGATCTCTGTACAGGTTAGTCAGAAGCAAATAGGTGGACGTCGAAAATTTAATACTTTATTGGCACAAACAAAAAACGGAGGCGGAGCAAAACGGAGAATGTTTTAAAAGCAGAAAGGGTTCAAGAGCAGAAAGCTGAAAAAAAGTATTTCATATGCAATTCGGTAAACCAAGTTTTCGATTTGTAAATATTACTAAAGAAACGAATAGATTCTGCATAAATTAACTAATTGGTTCAAACTTTTTCAAAACAAATTCAATTACTCAATTAATACATGCTTTATGTGTTTCATTGGTAGTATTGACGATTCGGGTCTTTTCTGTTAAGCGGCCCAAATTACTAAGAGGTTGATTGAGATAATGAAACCTGATCTAAACTACATTTTATAATTGGATAAATTGGATATTTTACCACTGTAAAATATTTAATATTAACCAATCACAATCCATCTAACTAACAACGCACTTATTTGTAAGTGCTGAAATTACTTGTAATTTCAGCACCAGAGAGATTTGAATTTAACTTAGAAATTAGTTGCCTCTCCAAGAGAACTTCAGCTGCCGCAATAAACCAGTATACCCTAGATCTATTGAGCCTAGCAGAGACTAGTTAAACACCCTGAAACTAGTAAGTATAAGAGTAAGATTAGGATCGGTATTAGACTAAGAAGTTGCACGAATCTATCCTGTCGAAAATAAGATAGCGTGACGAGCAGACGGTGTACCCTATCCGAAATTACTCTATGAGTTAACCACATCGGTTTTAACTCATCTGGTGCGACCATAAGTCTCGAATAAGGTCTTAATAGCTTAGAACTAACCAAATATAGATTAGAATTTAGACAAAACATTTTCAAAATCTTACACGATAATAATTTAATTGAAATGTCTCTACGACTCAATAGATGAGAGCCGATATTCCGAACGATACTAGAACTACCCGGTATTGGAAGAAGACCTCGGACAAGAGACGATATACGACTAAGTAGAAACTTACCATTTAGTTTTGTGGTTGTACGGCAAAAGCCATCACAAACTTTTATATTTAGAATCTTATTAGCAATGAATTTAGATTTTCATTAAACATAAAATTTTGAAGTAAATCTTCATGATCATTTCAGGCGCTAAACAAAATTATTAATGTACAATAACGATTGATAAAAAGATCTCAGATCGTTTTCTTAATTTCTGCAGTATTATATAAAACGTATTTGAAAAATATTTATTGAAAATAAAAATAAAAATTAGTAGCATGACAATAAATTGTTAGTAATCATAAATCATCCTGTTGTTCCTGCTTCATCACCTAAACATAACATCAATCATCAGCTCACTAATATCATTAAAAAACTAAACCTTTTTATTAAATAAACTTAAACCATTTTAAACTTTAATTCACTTACTTTTCAAAATCAGATCATCAAGGCTTATCCATGGATCTTAATAAATTTTCTATCTCACTAAATTTAAAACCTGATCATCAAGGCCTATCCTTGGATCAAAAAGAACAATTTTGTTCTCCCCCAACCACTTAGCAAGTGTCTAACGACCTCAAACGTCGATTCACTATCCAATCTTTCCAAAAGACCCAGGACTAATAGAAATTTTTCAATAAAACTTACCATTCAAAGTAAGATAAAAAGTAAAGAACTTCGGTTATTCATCCTTCACTTAAACCCTCCTCTTACCAGACCCAGGATAGATCTTAGACTTAGTAAGTTTAAAATAGTATCTAACGAACAACTTGCGTTCTAATTATAGCTGAACCTTGTGGATCGATTTACTATTCTCCAACCCTTGAACACAATCACTACCTCTAAGTAAGATTAAGTAAGTTAACACTTTACCTTAGACTAGCCACGAGAAATTAAAAAATCATTCTTCGGAATCGATATACTTTTCTCTCCAACTCTGAACAAAAAGACCCTGGTTAAGCTAACCAAAAAATCGTAAGGACTAACAGTCTAAGGAAATAGAAATAACTAACAACTTCTTGCATCCTTCATCCTAAACCTTATGTCATTCAAAAATTTAGTAAATAAACAAACAATCGTTTTACACAACTGTGAAATAGATAAAAAAAATACGATCTTGTAATCACACCTCATACACAAACAGTTGGATACATTAGAACAAAACGACAAACAATAAAAAGGAAAATTATAAATAAACAAAGGCAAATCACACGAAAAAGATTTTCAAAAAAAAGAAACGCATTTTCTGAATCAGAAGTCAATAGTTTAGACGAACTACACAAATTAAAAGAATCAATTGATAAAAATTGTCCCATTCATGATCAATTATATTTTTCCGACTCAGAAACAACTTTAAATTCATCAAAAAGAGGAAAAACGAGAATAAAAAAGCAATACAAACACAAACCAGTAAACTTGTATGATTGGAATCAACCAATTAGACACATCGATAGTTATATATTAACAGTCATCAAACGAAAAAATGAGCCACACTCAAAGTGACGATAGTCCAGATGACGAAGCAGTTCTTCCCTTTCTTATAGATTCACTCGATGATAGAGGACAACACAATTTTTGCAAGAACTTACTCGTAAATTTGTTTGAACCAGGAATCAGCCCATGCAAACAAGAATTCCCAGATGTAAAAATGAAAAGACAAATTATTGAACACTATTTGAAAGACATATGTAATCTAACACAACAATATGGAATCTACACCATAGAATTCAGCACACCAAATACAGCCCATCGTAAATGTATAATTCAAACAGATGATATTGAATTAGAATTTTCAAAAGTATTCATAGAATATATCAAAAGCATACAATATCATAATTCACAAAGAGCAAACTCCATATTCACTAACGAAGTTTTTGCAATAATATATAGTTATATATCTATATTAGAAGTTCAAAGTATATCACCAACTGAAACATCCAGACATACGAAATTACGAAATGAAATCACAGTTTTTCAACAATTCTACAAATAATTCGCGAAAATTTCACTAAAGATGATGTTTCACAACACACTAAACATGATTTACAAAAGATCTTAGCATGGTTTATAATAGATTATTTCACCCACAATTTAGATTTAATTTCACAAGCAAGAAAAAATTTTAGACCTCAAAATACAAATGACGACACTGTTCTTTCAGAACAATCAGACTACGTTTGGGACCCTGAATGGTCTCATTATGCATTTCTAAATATCCCACAAGCTATCTCAAGTCAAGCAAAAAGTACAATATCTTATCACAGAGATTATGTAAAAGTAATACCATTAACCATTGACGCAACACCATTGAATTATAATACATTTTTACCTGATACACGAAATAACAGTTTAAATTCGACCGTCATTCATAATGAAAATCTTAATGGAACCAGAAATCTTACACAACAAGACATTCAAACACCATCACATTTCATAAATGAAGAAATCGTCCAAACAACAACAACAACAACTACACAACAAAGTATTTCACCAATACACCCCAATCTCACAACACCAAGAAATACAAATACATCACTAACACAAGTAACCTTACAATCGACCGTTAAACCTTCGGTTGCTCCAAAATATTCACAAATTGACTATCAAACGTATAGACCAATGACAATACCGTCAAAAACACGAAAACCATTCACAAGAAATACCTTTGCAGAACACAATTATAATTATGCTCACAAACCAAGAAGAAACGAACCTCCCCGAAAAAACACACAAAATTTAAACCACGTATGTTCCCATTATTGGAATCTCCCGAAAACATCGACCAATTCAGTAATTTTTCCAAGTAATCCACAACCTACACAGGATTATAGTGAAAATTACCCATTCTTTCAACAAAATAAAAATAACCAACATACACCATATAATTCAAACTATTTATCATCTGATGAAGATGATTATCACTAACCAGATATTTTTGCACCATATACTAAAGAATATCGCACACAGAGACCGCGACAATCTCAACCATCTCAAAATAAGAAAATTTATCCACAAAACCCAACAGATATCCAAAAACCACAACAAATGCATATACCAAACCCATTTAATACACAGTTTATTCAAACAATACAGCCACAAAACCCAATGTTAATGCATTCTCATCAACCAACTCAAATGCAAAATGAAATACTGCTTCCATATTACCTTCAGCAACACGAAATAACAAAAAATCAACATTCAAATTTTTCACAAATGCCAAATGCCGCAGAATCACTACAGATGACAATGAATCTGTACCTCATGGGTGGATCATCAATAACATCCACTAAACCAATGATGGTATTCACAGGAACAGACCCTGAATATTCTGTAGAAGATTATCTAAATGTAGTAACAACAAATTTAACTTTAAATATAGGATCCGAACCAAATAATACGCCACTACATCAAAATTGGATACATAGACGCACAGCACTAATACAAACAACCCTAGATGGCGCAGCTCAAAAATGGTTTTCAGTATTACCCATAGAAATAAAATTAGACTGGAAAAGATTCACACAAGAATTTTCAAAAATGTTTGACTCTGAAAGAAACAAACAACACCAAAAAGTTTTATGCAATGAAATCCGCAGATTACCAAATGAAACAATTAAACAATTAGCAGTACGTATCGAAACACTAGTTCGAAAAGCATATTCACTTAATACCCATGACTATAAAAACACAAAAATGACAGAAATTTTAACGATGACCTTAACACCTCAATTAAGGAAAATAGCGATAAAAAAGAGAGCATCTCATCCTTCCTCAATTCGAGAACCAGACTTAGATTTTCGAAAATTAGTAGATAAACTAGAACAAGCAGAAGTCACAATGAAACTCGAAGAAACAGAAAATATAAAACTACAATATGTTAATCGAATTGAAACAAACACTACCCATATAAATAACATACAGGAATCAGACACAGACATGATTGAAAAAATCACTGAAATACTAAATATCTACGAAAAACATCCAAACTTTAAAGGCAAACCATCTTTCAAAAAATGGTGTAATTATTGCCGACGATACGGA